GCTTTTATTTTCATAATTCTTAAACAAAATGCGCATTTGTTAAAAATCTATATTTTTTAATATATTCCAAGATTATTAGCATTTGTGGAAGAATTTATTTAAGGCGCAATAAATAAGCAGATTACAAATGAATATTTTGAATGTAGATTATTGTTAAGCTGCGAATAGGAATTAATTTAGCAAACTTGAATATGCCACAGGTTGATTTTTAAAAGAAAAATGTCTTAAGAACTTGAAGTTATTAAGAAAATAAAAGTTAAGTTTATAAAGAGACTTCTAAAAGAAAAAGGTGATTAAGAAATTAGTTGTCTTTATAGGGGATAATATCTCACATTTAAGGAATTATTATATATTTTCTGAATTTTTTTTAATTGCCTATTTATAGGAGTGTCCAAATTCTAATGTATTTTTAACCAGCCTTTCAAATACCTAAAGCTTCGCTTTATTTAATTTATAGGCTAAATTTAAATACTTTTTTCCATCTTTTTCATCTGTTTTTTTTTTTTTTTTTTTGTTCATAAACAATTATTATTTATTGTTTATTCTTTCGTGTTACATTTGAAAAAGATCTTAACAGCCAACATTGCTTCTTTTTTTCTCAAATTGTTTACTAAATACCTTCTAAGTACCATTTTTCTCTTATTTTGTTTTTGTTATTGCTTGTTGTGTGTTGTGTTCTTAACACTCTTATACTTTTAGGCGTTTTGTATTGTTTTCTATTTAAATATACATACGAGTGAGTATTGCATATGTCAGCTTAAATTGTTATTTATTCTCATATTGCTTTCAGTTCGCTTTTATGTTCGCATTCTTCTTATAATAAATGAAAAGTAGATAAATGTGTCATAACAAAAAGAAATGTAATGAAAAATAAAGTATACTTTTTAGGTTTAAGGGGAGGGGGGTTTTTTAAGTTGGAGTGGTTTTGCTGTCATTGTGTATGGTTGTTAAGTATGTATTATTATTTACATTATGGTTAAATTTATTTTTTTTAGAAAACAAAAGCAATTTTTTTGTTTGTAATAAATGTAAATGAGGGTTTGTTTTTTACACAAAAGCCAAAAAGTATACTTTAGAATTTTTTGTTTGTAATGTGTTTTTTTGCGAGTTTGCTTTAAAAACCTAAAACAATACAGCAGTTTTGTTTGAGGGGTATTATCAGTTTTATAGAATTTCATATAAAAAAGACATTTCCTTCTTTTTTGCTGAAATGTTGTTAGAACAATAAAAGTCATTATTAGAACAAAATATTATAATTATTTTACAATTAAGAATGCTTGAAAATAAGCCAAATTTTAAAAGGAAATGTCTACACATGTGAACATTTCTCAATTTTTTTTAATAAACTGAAATAATATATTTTTGTTAGATAAGAAAATCTTTTGAAGTTTAAGCAGAAAATATTATAAAATTTTCTATGATTTTTTTTTAACTAAAGAAAGTACATAATTTCATTTCTATAACAAATTTTAAAGACAAAAACAAAATACTCATTCTAAACTAATTTTACTCTAAATTAAATTTAAACCTTCATTTTGAAAAAACTTTAACAGAAAACCCTCAAAAAAGACTTTCTAGACCTTTCATTTATTTTCTTTACAAATTAAGCTGCCATAAACTTAATAAACTTCCAATCAGTCTGGACTTATTTAATAAAAACGTAAATAAAAAACAACTTCTTCCTACACAAAAACCCAAACATTTCCTCAGCAAACCAAATCCAAAAAAAAACCCTCTTCAAAACTACAAAAAAATACCAAAATAATAACTCAAACCTAAAACCTTCGCTGAAAAAAAACTATACTACACTTACTTACAACTGCCTGCCCTCATAAGTATGCTTTAGAAAATAAAACTGAACACATATATCGACCAATCATTAATCATATAAGCTCATATATAGTACATACATAAACCAACAACAACAACTACAACAACAGCCTGCCACACGCAGCTCTACACGCTAAGGAACTTTAGCTTAAGGCTAGAGATGAACAAAAAAATCATCAACAACATCATCATCGTCATATTTACTCTTTCATTCTGGTTGGTATTTACCAAAAATTGGGGGAAGAAAAACACGAAAACTATGAAATTGACGATGATGTCAGTCAGTCACTACAATAATATGAGACTTCAATATGTCGACACTTTAACTAGAGTACGCCATCAACAATTTTGTTTGCTTGATTTTTTTTTTAAAGGAGAAAAGGTGTTCAAATTTGTTGCAACAAAAACGAATTAAGTTTAGGCTACAACTAAAAGTAGGCAATGGATTTTGTTTATAAAGAAAATTACTTTGACTTCGCAGTAAAATTTCATATAAAAATCTACTTCGTATCGAAGTGAAATTTAATACAAAAATCGAGTCCGAATCAAAGTTCATTATCATATAGAAATCGACTTCGAATGGAAGTGAAATTTCACATAGAAATTGAGTTCGAATGAAAGTCAAAATTTGTGCCGAAATCGAGTTCGAATCGAAAAGAAATTTTCTATAGAAATCGAGTCCGAATCGATGTTTCTTTTCATATATAAATCGACTTTGAATCGAAGTCAAATTTTGTATAGAAATCGAATTCGAATCAAAGCCAAATTTCATCCACAAATCGGCATCATGATCAAGTCAAATTTCATATAGAAATCGGCTTGGAATCAAAGTCAAGTTTTATATAAAAATCTATTTCGAATCGAAGTGAAATTTAACATAGAAAAGGAGTTCGAATTGAAGTGAAATTTTCATATAGAAATCGACTTCGAATGAAAGTCAAAATTTTCGAAAAGAAATTTTCTTTAGAAATCGAGTTTGAATCGATGTTTCTTTTTATATATAAATCGACTTTAAATCAAAGTCATATTCTGTATAGAAATCGACTTTGAATCAAAGCCAAATTTCATCCAGAAATCGGCTTCATGTTCAAGTCACGTTTCACATAGAAATCGACTTGGAATCAAAGTCAAGTTTTATATAAAAATCTATTTCGAATCGAAGTGAAATTTAATATAGAAAACGAGTTCGAATGGAAGTGGAATTTTATATAGAAATCGAGTTCGAATGGAAGTCAAAATTTGTATCGAAATCGACTTCAAATCGAAAAGAAATTTTCTATAGAAAACGAGTTCGAATCGATTTTTCTTTTCATATATAAATCGACTTTGAATCGAAGTCAAATTTTGTATAGAAATCGACTTCGAATCAAAGCCAAATTTCATCTAGAAATCTGCTTTATGATCAAGTCACATTTCACATAGAAATTGACTTCGAATCGACGTCAAATTTTATATAGAAATCGATTTCGAATCGATGTCAAATTTTATATAGAAATCGACTTCGACTCATTGTATATTTCATACAGAAGCCGACTTCGAATCGATATCAAATTTTATAAAGAAATTGAGTTCGAATAGAAGTTGATTTTCATATAGAAATCGACTTCAAATCAAAGTCAAATTTCATTCAGAAATCTTCTTTGAGTTTAAGTCAAATTTTATACAAAAGTCGACTTCGAATTGAAACAAATTTTATATAGAAGTCGACTTCGATTCGAAGTAAAATTTCATATAGAAATCAACTTCGAATCGAAATCACTTTTCGTATAGAAAACAACTTCAAATCGATGTGTTTTCGTATGGAAAACTACTTCGAATCGAAATCGTATAAAAAACATCTTTCCTATGGGAAAGAAAACAATTATAACAATTATTATTATTATCGATATCAACTTTTCTATTGAAATCAACTTTGAAATGATATCTGTTTTACTATAGAAAACAACTTCGAATCGATGTCAATAACTTCATTACGAATTTTATTTTTATGAAGCCCCTAAAAGTATGCATTACTTTTCTTTTGATTTTTATACTCAATTGTAAAACATTTATGATGAAAACTCATAAATCCTTCAAGACTCTATAAATCTATATATTTTTTTCTTCTTAATCTTTTTTTCTACTATTTCTTTATTTATATTATATTTTTGATTTTTGTAATATTTTAAAGGTTTGTTAGCTTTTCTTGTTAGCAAATAAAAAAATAAAAAATCTTTTAAAATAAAAAAAACTAAAATCTATTGATAACCATTAATTTTCTTTTCTTAAAACAATATTTATTTAAGTTTGTTTTCGTTTTTTTTTTTTTTTTTTTTTTTTTTTGTATAAAAAGAGTTTTTTTTTATTAAAACCTAAAATAACAAACAGAATTCTATTTAACTTTTTTAAAATTTCTTAATGTTTTTTCTTAATATATTTTTACGTTTTTGTTTTAAATCTTAAAAAATCCTTTTTTTTTTTGGTAAAAACCCCTGCCTAAAAAAAGTGTGAAAAGTAAAACAAAAATTTTTTGAAGGAGAAAAAAAGCCTAATTCCCCAAAGTGTTAAAGGGTCTGGCTTTATTTTTAAATAATGGACAAATAAATAAACATGAAGTAGTTGGGTGTTTTACTCCTGCGTTTTTTTCTATTTTTGGGAATGAAAATGGAAATTCTAAATAAATATTTGATTATTGTTATATTTTTATTTATTTATATTTTGTTTTAAAGAAAAGTGTTGGCTTATGCCCCAAAGTATACTTTGAATTACTAATATAAATATATACCCTAAAATTATGCTTTACTTTTGAGTCTAGAAAAGAAAAATATTTTATCAATAAATTTGTTTTTGCAAAAAAAAAGTATTAACACAAGGTTTTTGTGTAAAATAGTATTCAAATAAATACCTTTTTTAGTTTCATAAGGTCAGGGTGTTAACCTGTAAGGTATGCCTTAGATTTAGCTTTTTTACATTTTTAAGTAATATAGTAGTTATGAATTCGTTAAATCTTCTTTCTATACTTCCACAGTCACTGCTAATTGTTTCATATCAAGAAGATTAATTCACAATTTTATGTTTTTGGTTCCAACGTTTTTTACACTAACGGACAGACATGGAATTCTTCTGTTCAATTGTTTAAAACTTAACTTTCCCTTATTAATTTATTTTAATTCTTCTATCTTTGTTTCCAGATGATTCGGTAGATGTTACGTCCGAACCCGATGATCAGGATATTTCCGTAGCGGCAGCTGCCTCTCACAATCCCAATAAAGGTCAACTCGAAGTACAGTTAGGCGGCGCTGTAACACTGCAATGTCCGCAAGGTAATTAATATACATTCAATTAAAATATCTTCAGACTAGACTATAGACTAGACCATAAACTAGACTATAGACTAGACTATAGATTAATCTACAGACTAGATTATGGACTAGACTATATACTAGACTATAGACTAGACTATAGACTACACCATAGACCAAACTATAGACTGAACTGTAGACTAGACTGTAGACTAGACTATAGACTAGACTGTAGACTAGACTATAGACTATACTATAGACTAGACTTTAGACTAGACTATAGACAAGACTATAGACTAGATTGTAGACTAGACTATAGACTAGACTAGACTAGACTAGACTATAGACTAGACTATAGACTAGACTATAGACTAGACTATAGACTAAACTATAGACTAGACTATAGACTAGACTATAGACTAGACTATAGACTAGACTATAGACTAGACTATTGACTAGACTATAGACTAGACTATAGACTAGACTATAGACTAGACTATTGACTAGACTATAGACTAGACTATTGACTAGACTATAGACTAGACTATAGACTAGACTATAGACTAGACTATAGACTAGACTATAGACTAGACTATAGACTAGACTATAGACTAGACTATAGACTAAACTATAGACTAGACTATTGACTAGACTATAGACTAGACTATAGACTAGACTATAGACTAGACTATTGACTAGACTATAGACTATACTATAGACTAGACTATAGACTAGACTATAGACTAGACTATAGACTAGACTATAGACTAGACTATAGACTAGATTATAGACTAGACTATAGACTAGAATATAGACTAGACTAGATTATAGACTAGACTATAGACTAGATTATAGACTAGACTATAGACTAGACTATAGACTAGACTATAGACTAGACTATAGACTAGACTATAGACTAGACTATAGACTAGACTATAGACTAGACTATAGACTAGACTATAGACTAGACTATAGACTAGACTATAGACTAGACTATAGACTAGACTATAGACTAGACTATAGACTAGACTATAGACTAGACTATAGACTAGACTATAGACTAGACTATAGACTAGACTATAGACTAGACTATAGACTAGACTATAGACTAGACTATAGACTAGACTATAGACTAGACTATAGACTAGACTATAGACTAGACTATAGACTAGACTATAGACTAGACTATAGACTAGACTATAGACTAGACTATAGACTAGAATATAGACTAGACTATAGACTAGACTATAGACTAGACTATAGACTAGACTATAGACTAGACTATAGACTAGACTATAGACTAGACTATAGACTAGACTATAGACTAGACTATAGACTAGACTATAGACTAGACTATAGACTAGACTATAGACTAGACTATACTAGAACATAACAGACTATAGACTAGACCTATAGACGTAGACTGATAAGGACTAGACTAGACTAGACTACTATCGTAGACTAGACGACTAGACTGACTAGACTAGACTAGACTATATAGACTATAGACTATAGACTATACTGAGCTACTATGACTAAACTATAAACTAGATATTGACAACACCTTATACCTACACTATGGACCATATCGAAAACTTTGAACTAGCTAGAGACAGGATATAGCCTAATAAGACTGTCTATAACTAAACTATAGAATAGATCATGTACTAGACTATAGGCTAGGCTATAATCTGAACTATATACTCCCTAGACGTTACGACTTTAGTCGTAAATATAGACTCCTTAATCCTCGATGCTACCCCTGTATATTCTCGACTAAAAGGAGAACAGATTAAGCTTCTATGATTAAAATGGTTTACCTCCGACTAATTTGGAGTACATTTCCCCAAAAACCTTAAAATGATTTTTTGTCTAGTCTTTTTCGTCAACAAAAGATTTCCTTAATACAATTAAAAGCGGCGCAAAAAAGTGCGTTTAACAATTTATTTCTTTTAACAAATGAAAGCAAATATTATGCTTAATTAATTTCTTCACTTTCATTACCAGTAAAAGCCCATTTCCAGGCGCAAGAAGATATAAACAAAAAAACCTACTTACCACCTACATACAACTACAGCTAGACAATTAACTACACAAAACTTAATTACAACAATTGGATATTAATTGTAAAACCAATTAATACGGACTACAACAGCGTCATACCTCAACATTGAATGAATAAATAAATGAAAATGAAAGAAAAAACAAAATAACTAATGATGTACAATCATACCATTAATAAAAATTCATTAAGAAACTCCATATAAATATATAAAAGAGAAAAGAAAGAAACGAACGGAAATTCTTAGTATTCCGGGCATCATTGGTAATTTATAGACAGCTATTTACAGAACACGTTTTTTTTATTTTTTAAGAACCCTAGAAATTAAAAAACTTACACACACACAGGCACACACAAAACTTTTAGTGTCTGTATGATAAAAGACAGGACTATAAACCAACCATCCAAATTCCGCCAACCCAAATCAATTAAAGAAATTAAAAATTTTCGTGTTGAAACAATTAATGAAATTATAAAGCAAGTCAGAGAGAATGAAAACAAAATATATATATTTGCTTTCATGTTTGCTTAAAAAATATTACTAGAAATTAATTTGTATTAAAGGCGCCTAAAAATATGCTACAATTTTAATTTATATTACTTTAAGGGTTATTTATTTATACATGCAAACATATTTATTAATATCTTTCTCTTATTTTTAGGTTCCTTAGGTTGTTGGTCTCATTTAGATCCTGTTACTGCTCGTTTGCGTGGTCTGGGTCATGGCTTGTCTACACCTACAGGGCAATTTTCCCTTAAAGATGTTGTCTATCAAGATGCTGGCACTTATAAATGTATTGGCCAATCACCCATAAATAAAAAGAAATTAGAAGTTTTACAAACTGTAGGCGTTACGGTTAAAGGTGAGTAGTGTTGGAAAATCTGTTTTGTGACAACAACAACAATAATAGCAATAAAAGCTTTTAAAATAATTACTTTGAATGAGTAATAATAATAAGCAATCATTTTAGAAACTAAATGTTTCGAGTAGTAAGAGCTAAAAGGAAGGACAAAAAGTTTTATCAAGAAATTCCTTTACTAGCTGATGTCGCTAAGGCAGAGGCACTTTAAAATGTTATATGTTTAGGAAGCTTTTTGTAAGGTAAAAATACAGTCAAAGAAACATGTTAAAAAAAGAGATTAAGACAATTTAATCCACAATTTTAACCATTTTAAAAATAGTAGTAGGAATACTTTTTTACTTTTTGTAGTATTATGTTATAGTTCTAAAACCATTCTTTAAGATAATATTTTTCTATACAACATTTTCTTCTCCCTCACACTCCTTAATCACTACTTGAGTAAACAAATTTGTGACAAGGATTTTGCAAAACAAACATAAAACCAACAATTTCATAACTTAATGTGTCTTTGCTTGTTTTGGCTTCATGTTGGGAAATATTCATCCAATACAAACATATAACAAATTAAACAGACAGACAAACATACATACCTATATGGACGATATGTATATAGATAATTACGCTTATGTCAACACATAGCTAGATGTCGGTAAGGTAAAAGGGTTATGACAAAATTAGGAGTAGAAAATTGTTCTTAAATCGAACTAAAGTTTGAAAAGTAAGCTACTCTAAGGTTTAATTGGAATATCACAAAGAATCTTAGAATGTTCTGTAATTTGCTCTTTTTGTAAAACCCTTTATATTTCCTAAGTTTAAGTATTTACACGTTTGCTAGCAAACACGTGTGTTTTGGGGGCAGGAGGGGGTTTAATATCTTCCTTATGCAAGTATAAAGTTATAAAGATATTTACAAGTATTTGTTGCAATTTCCTGTTGTTGTTTATCAAGCTCTTCAAATGTGTTGTAATGACATTTTAACACAAACTTTACAAATACAGACATATACATGTAGCTCACATCTATGTTTGACGATAAACATTAGGTTGACTGATTTCGTAACTAGCATCAGAAAACTAAAGACTAGAGACTAGACTAGAGACTAGACTATAGAATATACTAGAGACTAGACTATAGACTAGACTATAGACTAGACTATAAACTAGACTATAGACTAGATCTAGACTATAGACTAGACTAGACTATAGACTAGACTATAGACTAGACTATAGACTAGACTATAGACTAGACTATAGACTAGACTATAGACTAGACTATAGACTAGACTATAGACTAGACTATAGACTAGACTATAGACTAGACTATAGACTAGACTATAGACTAGACTATAGACTAGACTATAGACTAGACTATAGACTAGACTATAGACTAGACTATAGACTAGACTATAGACTAGACTATAGACTAGACTATAGACTAGACTATAGACTAGACTATAGAATATACTATAGACTAGACTATAGACTAGACTATAGACTAGACTATAGACTCGACTATAGACTAGACTATAGACTAGACTATAGACTAGACTATAGACTAGACTATAGACTAAACTATAGACTAGACTATAGACCAGACTATATACTAGACTATAGACTAGACTATAGACTAGACTAGAGACTAGCCTATAGATTAGACTATAGACTAGCCTATAGACTATAGACTCGACTATAGACTAGTCTATAGACTAGCCTATAGACTAGACTATAGACTAGACTATAGACTAGACTATAGACTAGACTATAGACTAGACTATAGACTAGACTATAGACTAGACTATAGACTAGACTATAGACTAGACTATAGACTAGACTATAGACTAGACTATAGACTAGACTATAGACTAGACTATAGACTAGACTATAGACTAGACTATAGACTAGACTATAGACTAGACTATAGACTAGACTATAGACTAGACTATAGACTAGACTATAGACTAGACTATAGACTAGACTATAGACTAGACTATAGACTAGACTATAGACTAGACTATAGACTAGACTATAGACTAGACTATAGACTAGACTATAGACTAGACTATAGACTAGACTATAGACTAGACTATAGACTAGACTATAGACTAGACTGTACTCTAGACTATACCCTAGACTATACGCTAGACTATACTCTAGACTATACACTAGACTATACACTACACTTTACACTAGGCTATACACTAGATTATAGACTAGGCAATAGACTATACTATAGACTATTTTAGTATAAAGTCTTGTCTATTGTTTAGTCCATGGTCTGGTCTATAGTCTAGTATGTAGTCTAGTCTATAGTCTAGACAATTTTATTAAAATTTTTTGGTGCCCACCTTTTACCTCTGTATGCATACCTTTATTACAAACTTTCCATTAAAGTTGTAAACTTTACCTATAAACAAAAATGATTTTTACAAAATACTTGCCTTGAAAATTACTCTTGATATGATATGCAAGAAATTTTGTCAAGTCAACTACAAACACATACCATTTGCTTCCAGCAAAGAAAAGAAGAAAATAAAGAAATTTTGCCTGGAAAAGACTTTTGTTTTACTTTTACTTTAAGTCTAAGATATACAACAAACATTTTACAAGTTGAGGTAAAAAACATTTGTTTTTAATGTATTTGATTACTTGTTTGTTCTGGTCTTAGAAGAAAGGAAAGTTTTAGAAAATCCTTTAGTTTTGCTTTCAAAAAAAATCCTAGTTAAAGTATGTAATACATTCGAGTCTACATATAAATATCTTTTGGAGATAGTTGTCCCTTCAAGTGGTTTTGCTATTTATTGTTCTTGTAATCTATCAAGACTTTTCTTATTTTGCAAAAAAAGGATAGAAGTATGAGTTTAATTTTTTTTTTAAATTGTTGGATTTTATTTGAAAAAGATTCACATGTTTATATGACTCTCTAGGGTATTTTCTTGCAAGACTCCTGAGGTGTGTTTCTATATAGAATGACTGCAACAGACAAAACCAGCAAGTGTTTCATAGAAGAAAACATTAATTTTATTTTAAATTATTTGTTTTACATGATATTTTGTTGTGCTAAACCAACAAACACAATCATAAGCATTAATTTAAAAACAAATCTAATTCTCAAAGGTTTCTCAAGTCTAATTAAAGCCTTGAAATTCTTATTTCTTTACAAGTTCAGATTGCTGGGAAAAACTAATTTAAAGTTTAACTTGAGAAAGCTGTAATTCTCCAGTTAAACTCAGGTCATTTTCAAGCGTTTAACATTAAGCTTTTTGTTAAAATTTTACTCAAATCTGACATTGATTGATAATGTTGATTCATCAAACATTTGAAAGAGAATTTGTTTGAGAAATAACAAACCTCAATGTTTGCTGGGTATAACTTCAACATGGGAGTGTGTGTGTGCGTCTGTACTGTCGTCTATAAACTTGTAAAATTTATATGTTTAAACTAAACAATAAATTATTAGAATTATTTGATTGTCTTTGCCTTAGAATCCCAGTTGACCATTGGGAGCTTTAGAGTTTTATATGTATTTAAATGTTGTTGTATTTGGCTTTAAATTTACCAAGATTTAAAGAGGAATTAAAGGAAAATTTACACATGTAGGAGACATGAAATGGGACCTTAGTCCTACTATAACACATTGGCTTTATAACTTATGCTTCAATAATCTCTTGGACTTCTGTGAGACAACAAGTGTAATATCAAACTACTACAGAGAGAGAGTTCAGCGTAGATGCTGCTGGAACTGCTTTGAACTATATCAAACAAGATTCTGGAAACTTTGCTAGATATTCTATCAATTGAAACATATATATACTTACAGCCGAATGGCTTATAACGTAAGGCAAACTGATTATAGGACACGTCATCAATGTATACTGGATTCATTGGAAGATTATAAAGAAACATCTGACGTGCCCCACCCGATTCCAGTTACAGAATATGTCGGGAACTTTGAAACACTGATCATATATAGAATATAAAGGTCAAGCGGAACATAGGAATCCGTTGCTACAAGGTTTACTCTAAACTAGGAGACAAAGCAGGCCTGGGGTTGTATATTGAAGAGAAATATACTACAGTCCCGATAGTGGCCTAAGTGTATTTGTACGGCATTTGATGTACTATACATCCTCCTATCAAACTAACCTAAAGAATTTTATTAGAAAAATGTTATTTTGCATAAAAAAGGTCATATTTTAAAAAATTAAAAAAAGTAGTACTTCTACTACTATTTTTAAAAAGTTTAAAAACTAAATTTTTAGAATGTGTTAATCATTTAAAACATATTTTAATAAAAATTTTACAAAAATTTTGATTGTGTTAGAAAAAAGTAGTAGATAATTTACTACTTTATGGAATTTTTTTTTCAAATTTTATAGTTTCTTTAGGTGTAATTAATTCACATTAAGATTTCATGTTATAAAACTATGATTTTATGACAAATTGAAAATAGTAGTATTTCTACTACTAGTTTTTAAAATTAATAAAAATTAGATTTTTAAAATCTTTACGATCAATACAAATTAACTTTTATATAAAAAATTTACTTTAATTTCAAATTCCCTTGAATTTTCTTTCTAATTTGGCCAAATATTTATTTTTCTATTAATTCATTTAATACATCATACCAACAGCAAGTAAATCATATCAAATTAATTTCTAGACGCAACACATTTTACTTTCATTACAAATTTTTATCACGTTTATTTGTCAAAACTCATTTTATTCATTTTTATATTCATCCAATATTATATTCATTTAATATTATCATCATCAGCAGCAGCAGCACATTTTTTCAACATTTCTATTCCGCTTTTTTTAGCTCTAAAAGCATACAATTTTTTTTCTATGATAATTTGAAAATATTTTTTTTTTTTTCGTAAGGTTTTTGTTAAAGCAAAAAAACGTTGAATTTTTGATTAGAAATTCCTAGTAATGTCATCAATCATTTGACATGTCAAATAAGTTAAAAGAAAGAAAATTCGACAGCAGGACTTTTTCCTA